GTTTACCAACTGTTAGGATTTGAAGGTCAAAACTCATCATAATATGGGACATAGTAGTGATGGTGAGGATGGTATGAGTCTGCTCAGGGAGCACACAACTCCTCTGATGCATCAGCTCCACTGGCTGCCAGTTTGCTACTGGGCACAATTCAAAGTGCTGGCTTTAGCCTATAAAGCCCTAAACCAGTGGTTCTCAACCTGGGGTCCCCAGATGTTTTTGGCTTCCAACTCCCAGATATCCTAATAGCTGGTAAACTGGCTAGGATTTCTGGGAGTTATAGGCCAAAAACATCTTGGGACCCCAGGTTGAGAACCACTGCAGGGTTCCGGCATAGCTTATCTATCCGAACGCATCTCTTCCTACGAACCCACTAGGAACTTGAAATCGTCGGAGGAGGCCCTGCTCTTGATCCCGCCTGCTTCACAAGCACAGTTGGCGGGGACGAGAGTCAGGGCCTTCTCTGTGGTGGTCCCTCGGCTGTGGAATTCCTTGCATAGGGATATTAGATCAGCCCCCTCTCTCCTGACCTTTCGAAAAAGATTGAAAACTTGGCTCTTCGAGCAAGCATTCAGAACCTTAAGATAAATAGACAAACTTGAATCGGAAAATGACCCAGGAACGGCCAAGACGATGGAACGGATGAGGATTTGAATGAGAGGACATCGTTTTTAATTTTTTTTTACTATTTATTGTTTTTATGTTCTAAATGTAGTGTAATGTTTCTTTTTTGCTTTTTATCAATGTATGTATTTTATATGGCATCAAATTGTGCCAATTTTGTAGTCGCCTTTGGGCTAAGTCGCCTTTTTTTATTTATTTATCGTGTCAGGGGCAACCAGACAATTGTATTACATTTCTAACAGAACAAAACAAACAAACAGATAAAAAAAACAATATTTTGCAAACTTGGAAGTTGATTAAATGTCCTTTGACTAGTATCTGGCCACTTGGAGTGCCTCTGGTTTGCCGCAAGAAGGTCCTCCATTGTGCATATGGCAGGGCTCAGGTTGCATTGCAGCAGGTGGTCTGTGGTTTGCTCTTCTCCACACTCGCATTCATGGATTCAACTTTGTAGTCCCATTTCTTAAGATTGGCTCTGCATCTTGTGGTGCCAGAGCGCAGTCTGTTTAGCGCCTTCCAAGTCACCCAATCTTCTGTGTGCTCAGGAGGGAGTCTCTCATCTGGTATCACCCACGGATTGAGGTGCTGGGTTTGAGCCTGCCACTTTTGGACTCTCGCTTGCTGAGGTGTTCCAGCGAGTGTCTCTGTAGCTCTAAGAAAACTATTTCTTGATTTAAGTCGTTGACGTGCTGGCTGATACCCAAACAAGGGATGAGCTGGAGATGTCACTGCTTTGGTCCTTTCACTATTGGCGGATGTCAGGTGGTGCAATACCGGCTAAGCAGTGTAATTTCTCCAGTGGTGTAGGGCGCAGACACCCCGTGATAATGTGGCATGTCTCATTAAGAGCCACATCCACTGTTTTAGTGTGGTGAGATGTGTTCCACACTGGGCATGCGTACTCAGCAGCAGAGTAGCATAGCGCAAGGGCAGATGTCTTCACTGTGTCTGGTTGTGATCCCCAGGTTGTGCCAGTCAACTTTCGTATGATATTGTTTCTAGCCCACTTTTTGCTTGATGTTCAGGCAGTGCTTCTTGTAGGTCAGAGCACGGTCCAGAGTGACTCCCAGGTATTTGGGTGCGCTGCAATGCTCCAGTGGGATTCCTTCCCAGGTAATCCTCAGAGCTCGGGATGCTTGTCTGTTCTTGAGATGAAAGGCACATGTCTGTGTTTTAGATGGGTTGGGGATCAGCTGGTTTTCCCTGTAATAGGCAGTAAGAGCACCTAGAGCTTCTGTTCAACCATCTCAAAGCTCCCTGCTTGAGCGGTAATGGCACGATCATCAGCATAGATGAAACTCTGTCCCTTCTGGCAGTGGCTGGTCATTTGTGTAAATGTTGAACATTGATGGGGCGAGCACGCTCCCCTGAGGCAGGCCGTTCTTCTGTTTCCGCCATCTGCTTCTCTGGCCCTGGAACTCAACAAAAAAGCTCCTGTTTTGTAGCAGGTTTCCTATGAGGCGCGACACGAGAGAAGCCTCCTCGCAGGACTGCAAGACATCCAGGCGTCCCCTGGGCAACGTCTTCGTAGACAGCTGATTCTCTCGCCACAGAAGCGACCAGCATGCAAGCAAGCAAGCAAAACAACCAACGGACCTTTTCAGGACCAACCATGACAATAATCTCAATCAGCATCTAAGGCATGTCAACTGCCAAAACATCTGGTGACCCACAGGTTAAAAACCACTGACTTAGAGCTTCCAGAGAGTTCCAAACTGCTTCGAGCATACCGGAAGAACACATATGTGCAATCTCACAGAGACCACAAAGAAGAAAGGCAGACTTAACACTGTATGAGCAAACAAATTTGATTTCAAAGAACAGCAAAATACTGGATAGTTTATAAATCAGTTTATTTACAGGTTTAATTTTCTTAAAGTACATCTCAAATTAACAAAGATATTTACACTGGTGTACACAGGGACTGTCCCATCTTATTTTACAGTCCATAATTACAAGAACCTTAACACCCTGTAATCTACTGAGCCGTGCCGCACAGGATGTGTGAGTATTGGCTGAAATTGACCTAGAAACCAATATGTTAAGGTTATTTACACACACGCACAAACTCACACATGAGCAGTTTAGTTATCTGCACAATATATTACACGGGGAAGAAGAATCTCCCTATAACGGCTCCGTAAATGTATATAAAAAGGCTCTGCAAAAATCAAAGGAAAAACTCCTATTTACTTCAACGTATTACAGTACAGTTTTCCCACTTTTGTTTCCTTTTAATGTCAAACTAGTTCAGTTCAGAGTTCTGCTTCGCCATAATCAACCAGTGTTTGTAAATACAAAAACTCAAAATCCTATAGTTTACATAGAAACACTTTGAAAGTGTCAACTGTTTTTGCTGCTGGAACATAAGAATTCAATTCTGTTAAAGTACCAAAAGTGACTGAAAAAATATTTGTGGTGCAGTTACTTCAATGGTCTCTGAATGCTGTGCTATGGAATTTTCTTTAGTGAACGCACACTTTTATTCAAGTATTGCAAAAATTGCTAAGGCCACGTTTTCAAAGATCATTAATGGGTCCTCTCCCCACCCATACCAAACAGGCCAAAAAACCTTGCTGTTGTTTCCCCCCAAAGTTAAGTTAGTTACACACATCGCACTGGGATTTTTTTCCTATCCAAACTCTTGAAATGAATGGGAATTATACACGAGCACAGTAGTACTCTCATCTAACTCCTTAAATAGGAAACTTGCAGAAAAAGGATGCCATAACTTCTATCAGGCAGAAAAATGCTACAGAAAGAACTGTTGCTCTTTTACTTAAGTAACTCTTGCTTTGCTTTGATCTCAGAAGGAAACAATGGGGACATATTTAACTCAATCCATATTTTCTAGTAGGCCTGGGCAAGCCATGGCTCTAAATGGTTCTAAAGTACTTACAAAACTAAAGTTCTGGCGGTGAAAATTTCAGAACTCTAACAAAACTTTCAAATTTTAATCATTATTTCATTATTGGCGATCTTTATGACAGAACCAATTAGGAACTGCCATTTATAATGAAATGTTGAGAGTTTTGTTAGAGTTCTGAAATTTTCACCACCAAAACTTTAGTTTTGTAAGTACTTTAGAACCATGCATTGCCCAGGCCTATTTTCTAGCTGTGCTACGAGTGGTTTCTTCTTTAGTCTCAACATTGACAGCTTACATATTCATCTCCAGGATGAATTCTGTAAGACATAACATAATTCAAGTGTATCTCAGGAAAAAGAATGACAATCTCTGTTATCTGTTGAAACACAAGTCTTCAACACTTCATCCTGAACTACAATGTAAAAAGGACAATTCCCACTGTACTCAGCAGACTGCAATTTAAAGGCCACACCTTCATGTAACATATATATGTAGTCGACCCCATATCTCATTATTATAAAAAGGATACCTGGAATGAAACATGTCTCATGGGCACATATGTAGCTCAGACTGTGGAGCCCACAAATCTTCACATATGCTATACATTTTCACAAGTGTGCGAACACAAACCCTCTCAGGGTAAACTAGAAGTTCTTTAATGCATTATCTTAATATGTGTTCATCCTTTTTTTGTATTTGAGACAAAAAGAATGACCCTAGAGTTTTTAGATTTTTTACTGAAAAAACTGCAAGTGCAATGAATCACTATTGCTAATGTTTGTAGTAATCTCAGAAATTGCATTACTGTTAGTTTGTCTATATCCCCCCCCCCCCCACACACATATATATATATGTGTGTGTGTGTGTGTGGGAAAAATATGGGAAAAATATATGGGAAAAATACAGACGAACTAACAGTAATGCAATTTCTGAGGTTACTACTAAGATTGGCAATAGTGAAATGAACTGAGTGTGTGTGTGTGTGTGTGTACACACACACATATATATATACATACACACACACTCAGTTCCGAGGTGACTGAAACATTAGCAATAGTGAAATGAACTGAGTATTCATATATATATATATATATATATATATATATATATATATATATATATATATATTTTATATATATATATTTATATATATATAATTAATATATATATAGTTATCACTATTGCTAATGTTTCTTTATCCTCAGAAATTGCATTACTGTTAGTTTGTAATATTTTCCCATATATATATATATATATATATATATATATATATATGGAAAAAATACAGACGAACTAACAGTAATGCAATTTCTGAGGTTACTACTAACATTGGCAATAGTGAAATTAACTGAGGGAGTATTCATATATATATATATATATATATATATATATATATATGTGGAAAATACATATGAATAATCTCGCAGTTCATTTCAGAGGAGCCGCAGAAGTGGTAAAACCTAAGACATTGTGATAAAATGGCAACATATCTATTAAGAATACAATAACTTTTGTTTGGGAGTTTAAAATCCGATAACTTCTGAGACCCAAAAGCTCATTCTACTAGATCTTTTTTTAGAGTTGGCACCTAACTCTTAAAGTGACAGAGATGCGCGAAGATGAAGACATGCTGGGTATTTAAACTGCTATTTTGATCTTGTCGTGCTTCTAAATAAGACTAACCATACATAATTGAAAACTGAGAAGCTGGCTATGCCACATAGCAGGGTTTCTTGTTGTTGGCATGGATGCCAACCACTTTCTTTGTGCAGCCCTAGATATAAGGAGCTGCCCTGGTGGTGTGTCACTGCAAAAGGCAAATAAATCACAAAAATGATTTCGAAAGAAGAGACCAATATTGTATTGGCAGAGGTATGTTTAGTTGGAAGCCCAAGGAATTAGATGCAACGAAAGAGGAAAGGGCGCAGCACTTCCCACATGCACCTCTTGGATCATAATCATCTTTGGAGTGCCTTCTCCTATGTTTCCAAGTGCTGTCTCCACATTGAGACATGCCAAGAGATTTTGATTCCTATCAAGTAAACCAGATTTTTAATTAAGGCATCAGCATTCAAGCCTAGATCAACTGTGATCCCTTGGAGAAACGGGTGAGGGAAGAAGAGAACACTGTGTCCTGTAGGACATTTGGGGGCATTGGGGGTGAGTGGGGGAAGGATGTTTTTAATGCCCAATCCAGGTGCTCCCCTTCTAAGCCCAACAGTTTCAGGTGGTTTTTGCATCCTCATGCCTCTTTCCAACCCTACATTGCATAATGCGCTTACTTGGATCTTTGCAGATTCCCTGTCTCTTTAAGATGGCATTTTTGCACAAAGACTATGCATCTCTATTTTTGTAAGACAGCTACGGTCTTGATAAAAGACACCTTGTGTTGAATCTGGAGTTTAAATCCTACAGCAGTGCAATTAGTATAGCACTAGACAATTTTTTTTTCTGACGTAACATGTTATAAAATAAGTTAAAAGAAATTCTACATGCATACAAAACAAGTCCAGAGTCAAGCACTGGGCATCACTTTCTTTGGTACATACATACCCTCCCAGCCCTACATAGTTCAAGTAATGACTCCACCAATACATCACTGCAGGGTGGTAAGCAAGGGAGGAAGTAAAGGGATCAAAGGCTGACATTTGCAAGCATTTCCCCCCAACTCTTACATGTCAAGAGCTTGGGAGAATCCTGAGTACCCACAAACTTGGAAGCAGCTGGTAGTTCACTGGGGAAATGATGAATATTGTGGAAAATTAAGAAAATCAACCCAGATTAATATTTAGTGAGGAGAAATACATATTCAGAAGAATACATCTCTACCTCAGTGTCTCGCACGTCAATCTAGTTCCATTATCTAGGAAACAGAAAGAAGTAAATGGATGTTAGATAGAACAAAATCAATGGCTGTTGACAAATGAATGTATGGACTGTTACATAAATATAAATGCATACGATAATTAAAGAAATGAATGATAGGGTGATTCCGGCCATGAAAGCCTTCGACAAAATGAATGATAGTTACCAAAGAAACTAGTACAGCAGTTATTAAAATGAAGAAAAACAGTTTATAATTCTGGGTATCCAGTGCTTAAACCCAAGCAATTTACAAAATGTATCTGAAATGTGCAGTTCCTATAACAAGACTGCCGCAACAACAACAAAAGTCAGAAGCCAGCTGTTATACTCAATTGTCATGTATATTGGGGGGGAAAAGAGTAAGGAGAAAAGATCTAATGGAAAAAAATCTGTTTGGAAAAAATCCAGTGTAAACTCTTCAAAGGCAGCATGGGAAGGGATGTGTGATACCATGTTCTGTCACGTCTCAGCCTATGTGAAAATGACACTAAACTCCAGGAGTAAGAATATTGTGGCCCTGCAGGTGTTGTTGAGTAGCAACACCCAGCTCTCTTCACCATTAATGATGCTAGCTGACATTGTTGGGTATTTCAGTTCAACAGCACCTTCACGGCTGTACAATTTCCACCCCACTTCATTCAAATAACAGATTGCTATAATAAAACTATAGCTTTGATGTCACACAAGCAGCAGCTTCTTCTGTTTTTCATTGATCTGGTTAAGGACTTCAATGGTCTCTCTAATTAAGGCCTCAAATATTCCATCTGCCAGTTGCATCTTCACATATAGCTCATCTTCATCATAGTTCACCCACTGAGCTTCTTCTTCGTGTAATTCTTGCACCTAGAATTGAGAACAGCAGAGAATCAATATTTCAAGCATACATCCATGTAAATATAAACAACATATTCTTTTATGACTATTTATTTGGGTTGTTGTAGGTTTTTTTGGGCTATATGGCCATGTTCTAGACTATTTATTTATTTCAAACATTTGTACCCCGCCCTTCTAACCCCCCCTCCCCCCCGCCCAGGGAGATGACCCCAGGGCGGCTTACATCCAGCAAAATTCGATGCCATTACATATAAATAATACATATAGTAATTACATATAAGAACACAGTAAATTAATTTTAATATTAGTTTTAAAATAAAAAGTATATTAATAACAAGTGCAATAAGACTGGCTGTCTAGCCTTACGAAGAAACAAATTTAGCGAGCACAACACAATCGGAAGCCTGTCCATAGTCCATTTTCCATAACATTATCATCATTATTACCATTGTCAATTATCTGCCGACTACCCAAAGGCCTGGTCCCATAACCACGTTTTCAATTTCCTCCTGAAGGCAAGGAGGGATGTTGATGACCTGATTTTGCTAGGAGTGAGTTCCACAGGTGGGGGGTCACCACTGAGAAGGCCCTGTCCTTCGTTCCCACCAAGCATGTTTGCGCCCAGAAGATCTTAAACTTCAAGGTGGGACATATAGGGAGATATGTTCGGACAGGTAAGCTGGGCCAGAGTCGTATAAGGCTTTTGTTGTGGTTCAGTCTGAGCCTGAGTCTGAACTGTCTGGGCCTTATGCTGGGCCTTCCGGGCCTGCTGGGCCTTCTCAGCCTGACTTTCTGCAGGATGACGAGGAGGCTGATGGGTTACAGATTTCTGAACATGTTCCAAGTAGTGAGGATGGGTTACAGATTTCTGAACATGTTCCAAGTAGTGAGGCAGACAGAGAAGAAGAAACAACAAGTCTGTTCCTCAGAGAAAGGAATGTGCCTTTAGATAAAGATAGCGAAACTCCACAACTGCAGATGGAAACTCCTTTCGCTTCCCAGGATGATCAGGCCCAGCTGGGACAAGATAATGAGTTGTCCAGCCTTGAAGATAATAGTGAATTAATGAGTAGACAGGATCGTTTACAATTAAGAGCTCGCAGAAGCACACGCCTTGCCAGCCAGCGTGAAGCCAAAGGTCAACGCAATGCTTTCATGTCAGGGAAACTTATTTAATGATGTTGCCAACAAGCATTTCCTGTCAGTCCAATGTTGCTCTTTCCTAGTTAACTTCTGTGGAATTACCTTGGCTTTTGCGGAACGCTTCTGGCTTCTTTGGGACTTGGATTTTGATCCTGATTTCATCTGTCTACCATGGACTCTTGTTTGACCATTGCTAAGGGATTATGCTTCATGTTATTTGCCTTTGGATCTTGGGAACTTTGCCTTTGCATTTCAGACTCTGTTTTGCCTATTGAACTTTTGCATCTTTATTTCCCTGTTTTGATTTTGCTTTTTCTCAATAAACTACAAAACCTACAGCCTTGGTGTGTGGTGGTGTCTTGAGCAAGGTGAAAACTACTCTGAGTTGCGACAGCTTTATAGGTCAAAACCAGCACTTTGAATTGTGCTCGGAATTGGACCGGCAACCAGTGGAGCTGACATAATAGAAGGGTGGTATGTATGACGCTCCAGTGAGTAGTCTAGCTGCCGCCCGTTGGACGAGATGAAGTTTCCAAGCAGTATTCAAAGGCAGCCCCACGTAGAGCGCATTGTAGTAATCTATTTGGGATGTAACCGAAGCATGGACCACCATGGCCATATCAGGCTACCCAAGGTACAGGCGCAGCTAGCACACAAGTTTTAATTGTGCAAAACCTCTCCCGGCCACTGCCAAGACCTAGGGTTCCAGGCTCAGCGATGAGTCCAGGATCACTCACAAGCTGCGAAACTGGGGGCTGTAACCCTATGTCCTGTTTGGCCTTTCAACTGACCAGTAGGACCTCTGTCTTGTCTGGATTCAATTTCAATTTGTTAGCTCTCATCCAGTCCGACACAGCTGCCAAGCACTGATTCAAGGTCTACACTATATTTACCCATGTACATGCTGAGGATACCTTTTGAGGGCAACATTTTGAAAGTATCTGTGGATTAAGTTGAGGGTTATTCTGCTGAGAGGAGAAAGCACCACAGCTGTTCCAGGGGTAAAGCTGCTCCAAGCTACCACTACTATTTTGTTGCCCAAGCATTCAAAAAGGCTATAAGCAAGGCATGGGCAAACCCAGGCCCATGGGCTGGGTGTGGCCCTTGGGCTCTTTCCTCTGACCCCACCCCAGCAGTGTGTCGCATCTTCCCGCCGAGAGGAGGGCTCTCCCAGTCACACACAGCTGCATGGAGTTCTCCCAAGAGCCCTGCACAGCCATGTATCAAGCCCCCACTCCCACCGCACCAACCAAGGCACTTTTGGAGCATTTCTCTTTCCACAGGAAAGATAGAAGCACACCAGCAGGGAAGGCCTGTTTGGCTCGGCTAGCAAGGTAAACCTGAAATGCTCTAGCTATGTCAGAAAGTTCAGAAAAATCATGTTTAGAAATTAAGAGACCACCAAATCCATTCTGTTGAAAAGAACTGAAATGGGCAAGAATGGACAAACCCATAAGAACGAATGATTATTGATAAACACATGGTCTCTCTTTTTGAGATCTAACCAAGAAAGCTCTCAGCTAAAATTTTTGGATATAATGTACAACTTCAAAAATGCTACTGACCAGTAGATGATCCACTCTGTCTCGTTTTTTGCGTCCAAATTTCATCATTTTCTGCCAGTCTGTTTTATTGTTTGGCTCCTTTCTCAGATTTAAGAGCTTTAGCACTTCATTTGCTATAAAAGTCTAGAGTCAGGAAGATACAAACAAATGAAAAAATTACTTGGAAAGATAAATTTATTCACAGTATCATCTCAAACCATGTAACTCATAGATAGAAACTGTTTCAACCATCTTTCTTCAACTTCTCACATTCTATTTTTATTGCCTTTTGAACCATTTAATTTTACATCCATAATTTCAAATTCCATTGGGTCCACCATATACTCATACCATTTACTTACTGTCCACTTTGATTCGTCTTTCCATCCCAATACTATCACCACTTCTGTGCACTCAATTATCGCTTCCTTTATTTCCCTGTAATTTCCCATTCCATCTCTTTGTATTAAGACCACCATTTTTTTGTTATAACCCAATCAGTTCCTAATACTTAATTTGACACATTTTATATTATCTGCAGGAAATATTGTACCTGTTCGCATTCCCACATCATATACATAAACTGCCCTTTCTGTTGACATCTATGCCAGCACTGACTGCTCCCTTTTTTATAATAGTATGCTGACAGAGTGTATGATACTACTTCTGTAATATTTTCCTGCTATTTTCTCTTACTTTTGTATTTCTCTTACTTTTGTATTTTTGTATGTCCGTATTGCCTCGTATCTTGTTCTGTAATTTGTAACTCCATTTCCCACATACTTTGGATTGTGGCGCAGCTTGCTGAGTGTCAGCTGCATTAAGATCACTTCTGACCAAAAAGTCATGAATTCGAAGCCAGCCTGGGTCGGAGTGAGTGTCAGATCAATTGTGTAGCTTGCTGTTGACCTTTGCAACCCGAAAGTAGGAAAATTAGGTAACAGCTATGTGTGGGGAGGCTAATTTAACTAATTTATGAGGCCATAAAAAAAAGACTCCAGCAAAAAGCACTCCAGCAAAGCATGCGGGGAATGCAGAAGTACTTCATCAGTTTCACAAATGGACGATGAAAGCGACAGCTCCCCTGGCGGCCAGAAAAAGTTAAATAGCCTCTGTGTATGCCTATATACGTTGTATGTCTAATTGGCATTGAATGTTTGCCATATATGTGTACATTGTAATCCGCCCTGAGTCCCCTGCGGGGTGAGAAGGGCGGAATATAAATGCTATAAATAAATAAATAAATAAGTTTTCCATGTCCTGTATTGTAAACTTGTCAGCCTTTATTAGTAATGCATATATTTTACTGATCTGTGCATTATTTCCTTCCATTTTTTTCTTTCATTATCTTTTCAAAGGCAGTGTCTTCACTTTTTACCATATTAATATTTTCTTTAGCCACTGAATCCATCAATTTTTTTAAAACACTCTAAGCTTGAATCTGAACCAGGGACTGCAGACGTTTTTTCTGAAGGGAGGCACTCAATATTGTCAGGCATAATTTAAATTATTTTCCCATTAATTGTCACAAAAGCATCCTTAAATATGTAGACTCTGACAAGCAGAGTGTGTACACAGAGGTACCCTCCATATGTTCAGTGTGACTTACTTCCAATTAAGTGTGAATGGGATGGACTATAGGTAGCCTTCATTATTCATGAGAAGGTCCAACAACACATAAGTCATAGTAGTCTAATTCTGCTAAATTATACCAGAGTGGAAGCTATATATATATATACCGTATATTCCGGCATATAAGACGACTGGGCGTATAAGACGACCCCCACCTTTTCCAGTTAAAATATAGAGTTAAGACAACTCCCATGCATAAGACTACACCCGCGTATAAGACGACCCCTGACTTTTGAGAAGATTTTCTTGGGTTAAAAAGTAGTCTTATACGCCAGAATATACTGTATATCATGTCAGAAGCGACTTGAGAAACTGCAAGTCGCTTCTGGCATGAGAGAATTGGCCGTATGCAAGGACGTTGCCCAGGGGACACCCGGATGATTTGATGTTTTTATCATCCTTGTGGGAGGCTTCTCTCATGTCTCCGCATGAGGAGCTGGAGCTGATAGAGGGAGCTCATCCGCCTCTCACCGGATTCGAACCTGCGACCTGTCGGTCTTCAGTCCTGCCAGCACAGGGGCTCCGAAGAGTGGAGGCTAAACCTAGACTGATGTAGACTTAAGCCTCTCCTGCCCTTAGTTCCATGATCTGGGGCAAGATATGCAAAATTAGCGAGAAAAACTAGAAGTAACCACAGGTGTCAACAGAAGGATGGCCAACAGTGCTCACTTGCTTTGGTGTAACTCCCAAGTTTGTTAAGATAGAACTAACTTTCAAATGTTTATCTAATGTTGTTCTCCACTTAGGAGCCATGCCTTAAAGTTACAGTTTTCAAAATGGAGCTCACATTTACCAGGAGAGAAAAAACTGATGCAATGTTTTTTCCACTTTTCAGTTGCCCTTTTAATTCCTGTTTACGCTCATCCTCAGTGTCTCGCTGACAAGTGGTCAACTCGGCAGCTTGTTCTTTTCAGGTTGCAGCCATCTCTTTTTTGAACCCATTGACTTTTTAGTTCTTGTTTTTATCCTTCCTAACATCTTTGCTTCATACGTTTGTCAGAGAAGGGCCAATAAGACCAGTTGGTTAGGCAGGACAGAACAAACCATTGGTGAAGGGGGCAATGGCTCAACTGTTTAATGGCTGAACTGAAAAAAAAATCTTGGATCCTGCCATTTCAGTTAGAGCACCGCCGTGAAACCGAATCCTAGTGGATAGCTCCTCCTTGCCATCCCGAGAATGCAGAAAGTTATGTTGTAAGACTAGCAGTTCATTTTCACAACCAAACAATAAACTTGGGTTCTAGACACTAATCGAGGCAAGGACAGCATCCCTACCTTTATCTCTTCAAGGTCATTCGGATCTTTTACTCGACGGAAGTAACCAGAAGTAATCCTACATGGTTTCATCCAAATAGGTTGATTCAAATTTGGATCTTCTGCAAAGATCTCTCCAAAGATCTCTCTTGTCAGATCAAAAACAGCCTTCAAAAATAATAATAAAAATAATATTAATTTTTGAAAACCCACCATTATTCTGTTTCTGATCTCAGCTGTCTAGGATGTTCACTGTACTGCCGGTTTTTGCTGAATAACAAGTTCAACCTTTTGAAAGTAATTATTCTGAAATCGGAAAAGCTCTTCCTGAGAAGGTATGGACAGTCTAAATGTCTGTCCAATTTGCCATCCCACCTCTCTCTTTTCCCGTAACACACTTTTAAACAAACATACCATACCGTATTTTATGTTATATCCTGTTACTAATCACTGGAAATTATTTCAGTGATTCCCAAAGTGGGTGTTATTGCCCCCTGGTGGGTGCTGCAGTGATCTGGGGGGGGGATGACCACACGTGCATTTGGGGGCTATGAATAACTGTAAGGGGGCAGTGAAAGCATAAAAGAAAGAAGAAAAGATTGAGAAAAATTGATTTCTAGGGGGTAGGTCAAATAAGTTTGGGAACCACTGATTTAAATGAATGCTAAGGGAATAGTAGTTGCCATTTGCTTGAATCCAAATGACGACTTTCTGCACTGATTGAGGACTATTTTTCAGCAAAAAGGAAAATTTACAATTCTGTTTATTGTTGTTGTGTGAGCTCCCTCCTTCACCACTTTGAAATTTGTTTTGTTGTGTTAGGAGCGACTTGAGAAACTGCAAGTCGCTTCTAGTGTGAGAGAATTGGCCATCTGCAAGGACGTTGCCCAGGGGATGCCCGGATGATTTGATGTTTTTTTATCATCCTTGTGGGAGGCTTCTGTCATGTCCCCGCATGAGGAACTGGAGCTGATAGAGGGAGCTCATCCGCCTCTCACTGGATTCGAACCTGCGACCTGTCGGTCTTCAGTCCTGGCGACACAGCGGTTTAACCCACTGCGCCACCGGGGGCTCCACCACTTTGAAATAATAACCTATAGAAGGTAAAAAAGATTAAAATGTAGAAGAAGGTATTTTCCCTGCGTGGTCAACTGTGAATATGCACTAATGGTAATGCACAGAAGTACCATTAGTGTGAATTCACAGGTGACCACTTGGGAAACTACGGTTACAGGTAAGCAACCTATATTTCCTCCACCATTTTCTTCAAAGCTACTAGGACAAACCAAAAATAGAACAATAAAACAAAAGAACTAAAAAAAATACTTTGAAGCAACATGCTCTCGTTATTCTCAAGAAAGAAGAAACATTAACTCCATCCTTCATTTGGCAGAAACCAGAACTGGAAGGGAAGGGAAGGCAAAGGGAAGTGAAGACAAAAATTAGGGTTCACAAAAGTTGGAACATAACACATCCATAAGACATTCTTGGTCCCTATTTGGAAATTCCTACTTTCTCAAAGAACTGTGGCTTTTTTTGTACTTTATACATTAATTTTGGGTGCATCTCTCCTCTATTGATACCTGTTTGTAGATCTGTTTGCTAACAGCTTCGATGTCATCATCCCTGGAAGAATCATTTATGTCCCTGGGAAGACTGGTAGTTTGAAGATCATGTCCCATCTCTTTACACTTCCACAGTTGCTCAGCAGCCACATGCACCAAGTCTTCCACTTCCCCTGCAGTGTGTGGGACAGCCAAGGGCTCTTCACATGGCTTGGATAGCACTTTGGGGGGCTCAAGCTTAGGCAAAACTGCTGATTCTTCAGCTTGTTTCTGAGGCAACTTGCGAGAACTCAAGCCAAAATCCTCATCAAACCAATCTTGGTCATCTCCTAATACACTCAAGAACTCCCGGCTAAGCTCCAATTCTGCCAGCCTCTTGGCAAGCTCTTCTTGACCACTGGCACCAAACACTGGGCTTTCCTATACAATAAAAAGAAGGTTACCATTCAGCGCAATGTTAACATTTCCCTGTCATAGGCTTCACATTTCAATATGCCAAACTCAGACATCAAGTGGTGAATAATCCTTACTTCTTTCAATAGTCAGAAACTTAATGATTAAATTGAACATATAATAATATAATAATAAAATTTTATTTATATACCGCTCCATCTCTCCGAGGGGACTCAGAGCGGTTCCCAGGTAACATCACAAAACATACAAAGTAAAAACGACATAACCATAAGATTAACAAAACAAAATATAAGCACAAAAATTGTCGCCATAACACACATATATTAAAAGTAATCCTGTCTGTTCAAGGCAATTTAAAAATTTAAAAGACCGGGCCAAGATTTGTGCAAGCCCAAAAATTCTGGGGGCCTGGGAATTAAGTGCAATGCTATGGCAGGCAACAATATTAGGTACGGGTCTGTGGCTGTTCATTCTGGGGCCGATTAGAGGAAAGAATCTGGATAATTAGTAGGAAGAATAAGGCCATATTCGACAATGTGTGGGGCTGAGTTAGAACTGGTCATTTTCAAAGGCTTGTTGAAACCACCAGGTCTTCAAGCTCTTACGAAAGGAGGGGAGGGAGGGAGCCTGCCTTATTTCCCTTGGAAGGGTGTTCCAGAGGCAGGGGACCACCACCGAGAAGGCCCTCTCTCTCGTCCCCACCAACTGTGCTTGAGACGGTAGTGGGACCGAGAGGAGGGCCTCCCTGGAAGATCTTAGAGCTCGTGCCGGTTCATAGAAGGAGAGAGGGTTCTATTTTTATGCTCTTTCTCATCTCCCAATCTGAAAGTGAGATATGACAATCAATATCTATGGAGAAAGCCAGGAGCACTCTAATCCAAGTCTTATTTCCTGTGATTTTAAAAGCAACAACATCATAATGCTTCTGCACACAAAACAATACAGAAACAGACATCTACATGCCACAGAATGGTCTGTTTGGAGTGGAACTGGGAATTAGTGAAGTAGCTTAAAATGGACTGATCACTCCTAGCAATCCTAGAGGAGTCATATGTGTCTGAAAGTCTGAGAAGGGCAGTATACAAATATAGTAAATAAATAAATAATATGGGTCTGAAAATCCAGAACATAGTCAGTTACATGTCAAATTTACAACAGTTACACAGGACTACACTGCAGAGCTTCATATACCCTCCCCTCTGAGGTGCTTTGTTTGTGTAATTCCTGCATGGCAGAGGGGGGTTGGACTGGATGACCCTTAGAGTCGTCCACTGAAATACTGTTAAGTTTATGTTGGTTAAAATTGTTCATTTTAAATAATGTATTGTAGTTTCTTCCCTTTTTTCACTGTGTGAATTAGTTGGCAGAAACACTATTGGGCAAAAACTAACAACAGGGACAAATGCAAGATACTCCACTTAGGCAGAAAAAACGAAATGCAAAGATACAGAATGGGGGACGCCTGGCTTGAGAGCAATACGGGTGAAAAAGATCTTGGAGTACTCGTGGACAACAAGTTAAACATGAGCCAACAATGTGATGTGACGGCAAAAAAAGCCAATGGGATTTTGGCCTGCATCAATAGGAGCATAGTGTCTAGATCTAGGGAAGTAATGCTACCCCTCTATCCCGCTTTGGTTAGACCACACCTGGAATATTGTGTCCAATTCTGGGCACCGCAATTGAAGAGAGATATTGACAAGCTGGAATGTGTCCAGAGGAGGGCGACTAAAATAATCAAGGGTCTGGAGAACAAGCCCTATGAGGAGCGGCTTAAGGAGCTGGGCATGTTTAGCCTGAAGAAGAGAAGGCTGAGAGGAGATATGATAGCCATGTATAAATATGTGAGAGGAAGCCACAGGGAGGAGGGAGCAAGCTTGTTTGCTGCTTCCTTGGAGACTAGGACGCGGAACAATGGCTTCAAACTACAAGAGAGGAGATTCCATCTGAACATTAGGAAGAACTTCCTGACTGTGAGAGCCGTTCAGCAGTGGAACTCTCTGCCCCGGAGTGTGGTGGAGGCTCCTTCTTTGGAAGCTTTTAAACAGAGGCTGGATGGCCATCTGTCAGGGGTGCTTTGAATGCTATTTTCCTGCTTCTTGGCAGGGGGTTGGACTGGATGGCCTATGAGGTCTCTTCCAACTCTGATTCTATGATTCTTCATCCACCTGCCTGATTTTTTTTTTGTCGTGTCAGGAGCGACTTGAGAAACTGCAAGTCGCTTCTGGTGTGAGAGAATTGGCCATCTGCAAGGACGTTGCCCAGGGGACGCCTGGATGATTTTGATGTTTTTATCATCCTTGTGGGAGGCTTCTCTCATGTCCCCGCATGAGGAGCTGGAGCTGATAGAGGGAGCTCATCCGCCTCTCCCCGGATTCGAACCTGTGACCTGTCGGTCTTCAGTCCTGCCGGCACAGGGGTTTAACCCACTGCGCCACCTGGGGCTCCCCCCCATGCCTGATATACATATATTATATATAATATAATATATAAACATTTCTTAGGGCTCTATGAGCCCCACAGAATTATATGGAAGTTATATAATAGAAGTGCTTATTTCTTATTTCATTTGTAAAGAAAAAATGTGACACTATACATAGGAACCCCACATGCATGTGATAAGTGCTTCTGAAACAATGGCAATCTAGAAATTATTTGTGATTTAGTATGAACCAAGAAATTATCTCCCATATTGAAATGAATGGGGAACAGGACACATGCACAAACAGTTAAGACAATTCACCACTTTATGGCCAGTTATATTTTGTATCTGATAATCTGGTATTATTTTTTAAAATCATTCTGGAAAATTATACTTACAGGCCTAGGACACATATCTGGAGAGGAAACTTCTTCTCCTTCATCGTCCAGATCAGAACCGATTAAAAGGCTCTGCAGGTCCTTAGTTGTAAATGTTTTTTCTTGAACGGCACAAAGTTCTCTATTGCTAGATAGAATTTTTTCATTCCTGACCTTCTTGATTTCTTGCAACTGACTGACTGTGTCTTTCACGAAAGCTTGCAGCAGACTGTCAGCCAGCAACCCAACTTTTTCCTGTTGATCAACAAGTTCTTCTTCCTCTTCTGATGGGACTTTAAGTTGGGCTTCTAACTGGCTTCGTTCTTTTGTCAACAAATCCAGAAGTGGAGTTGCAGACTTCTCCAAAACTCCAGGAGAAAGGCAATCTGACTTCTCAGTATATTCCTGCCAAGAAGGCTGCTGCTTCCATTTCTCAGGGAAGAAGCTTTCTGATGTCTCTTCTGCAGCAACTGCAGAAGCCTCTCTACGGGCATTAGAAACTGAAGAAGATAAAATATCATCGTCATTTTCATTTTCAGAGGATTTTAGGGAATCAACAATACTTGTTTCTTTATCAAGGTCTTCAGCAGCAATAATGTCTAAAACAATATTTCTCTGTGAAATCAGTTTTGTATTGTCTCCCGCTGCAATGAAGTCCTCTAAATCACCCAGAAATTTATTCTCACGAGCCGTACTTATATCACATTCCTTTTCTTCCGGGCTTTCTCTGTCGTTCTTATTTGCTTCATCATGATTTTCTAATGTATGTTTACAGATGTCTTCATTTGAATCCAAGCAAGTATCAAAACTTTCTGAAATATGAAATACTTTTTGTGGAGGAGCAAAAATGCCATGCTTTTCTTTACAATCAAAATACTTAATACCGTTATAAGTCCCATTGTTGTTTCCTTCTGGCTTGTCTAACTCGACACCAGCCCAAAAACCTTTAGCAAAACTTGTAAAGCCCTTGAATCTTAGTGTCCCCGGCTGGACATTACTCACAAGAACTCTGTCACCAATATGAAAATCTAGCAAAGCTTCTTCTTCATCATCTTCTGCCTTGGAACTGGGAGCCCACAGAGATGAATCGGCAGGAACAGGTTCTCTCTCAACCTCACTGCACTCCTTACTCTTCAGAAGTTCTGTTGGTGATTTCAGTTCTAAAAATCTCTCTAAATGAATACTGCCTGTAACTGACAAAGATTTGTCACTAAGACATTCACTTATTTCATCATCACTTCCAATACTAGCAGACCTACTCCCGGGCGGTTTTGTATGCCAGGATTTATCTTTTCCATCAGACAATGTATCAAGATCCCCCTTGCAATACTGAGTAAGAAGTATTCCGTCTTTTGATATTTCTTTTTTTGAGGAAGACCCTTCAAAATCATTAGTATATGACGCTTCTTTGCAAATAGAAATCTTTTCTGAAGCCAAGGAGTCTTCATGCAACAACCCCTTGCTCATTCTATTCTTGACTGACACAGTATTTTCATCATCCATGGACCTCTCCTCTGGCATCTTCTTTCTTTCAGAGATATCCACTGAAGGAAAGCCAAATTGCTTCCTTTCTAAAGATTGAGCCTCAGGACTCCCATATGTGTTTGGAGAACTTCCAGGTAAATCCTTTTCTTCTATATTGAAAGAAGAGGCATCAGATCTTTCAGAAGCCTTATCAACTACTTCAGATATTTGTGATTTTATGGATTTCACACCCTCTTCTATTAGAGATTTGTTACTGGAAATAAAAGACTCATAATTTGTTGCATCTTCAAGCTTATTTGGGGAGACAGGGGATGTTTTGTTTATGTCTTTGAGAAGAACTGATGAAGCCGAACTGTCTAAGGAATCACCAGATTCTGCTCTAGATCTTCTTGTAATCTTGAGGAGTGGGGATGAAATTCGGGATTGCTCTTCTGACCGAATCTCTGCCTCAAGAAATTTTTTGGTGTATGGAGACACACATTTCTCAGAACGAGAAAGAACATCTTAGAAAAATAAAGACAAAAAACAAATTTACAAACAGTGTAATACTTAAATCGTTATGCAATGTATTTGCTATTTAGTCTCAGTAAACCAGCTGTTAAAAAATTGGTACAATGGCAAAGCTCAACAGCAAGGTTAAACTGTGCCATCAACATGCTATTTAACACACATATGCTGTTTAATAATACATAAAGCGCCCTGGGTTATTTCCTTAAATGCACCACTGTGACCAATTAATTAAAAATACACTGGCACATTTTTGTGCAGCACATGCATTTGGGGTCAAAATGTACCCAAAATACAGAACAAATATAAAAGCTTTTTCCTTCAATGGAACCAGTTCATACTTCATCTATGATATATAATAAATGGCTTGACTGATATACAGTATATTAATAACAGGTAGCATAATGAGTCATATTAAGTTATAATAATAATAATAATAATAATAATAATAATAATAATAATAATAAAACTTTATTTGTATTCCGCTACCATCTCCCCAAAGGACTCGGTGCGGCTTACATGAGGCCGAGCCCACAATACAACAATAAAAACAATAGCAACAGTAATACAAACAATAAATAAAACTCATAAACAGAAAATAGCAATTAACATTAACAATAACACAACGACGTTTAAAAACCTATGGCAGGGCCAAATGTACTAATTAAAATTTAAAAAAATAATGCTGGGCGTGACCAGGTGACATATAACCAGGATAGAAATTTTGTAGAGGGATAGAGTGTGCAGACAATCCTAGATCACTAATAAAGTGTGTTTAGGGACATATTGCTGGGAGTTTCCTTATTCTGGGAAGGCACACTGCACAACCATATTTTCAGGCTCCTCCTAAAGACTGCCAGTGTTGGGGCATGCCTGATGTCCCTGGGGAGTGAGTTCCAGAGTCGAGGGGCCACCACCGAGAAGGCCATGTCCCTCGTCCCCACCAATCGCGCTTGCGATGGAGGTGGGAGTGTGAGCAGGGCCTCTCCAGATGATCAAAGAGATCGCGTAGGTTTGTACACAGTGATGTATTAACTCAGGGAAGATTTGATTGAAGAAAGAAATGCATAATCCTCAAATAATTAACTTGAGGGAAGGTCAAATAGAAATTAATGTGCCTTTTCCATACTATAAACAATAAACTTTCGTAGTATTTCTGATTTTTACATTGTAGTAAAAAAATCAAATATCTCTCATTTTAGATCTAAAGTTCAGCCTGAAGTAGTTCCATACCACATCCAATACTATTTCTAAAGTTTATCCAAAATTTAGGATCATTGGGGGGGGGGGGGGCACTACTAAGGGAATAAGTAGGAAAGTCTGTTCTATCAATGTCAGAAAAGTTGCGATCCAAACCATCATGTTTTAATTCACTTTAATTTCAGTATCCAAGAGTTTATATATATAAGCATATGACAGGTAAAGTTACTCTGTCATTTGTTTCCACCACCACCTTTTTTATATGTTTTGTTTCGTTTCAAATTACTACCTCTTCGACTCCTTCTAGATTAAAAAGATTCATTTTAATAATGATCAAAGAGTAAACACTTTGAATAATTTTGTGTCAAACAGTTAGTTTTAGAAAGTAACTTGGTGCAAAATTGCAATGTAAAAAATTATGTAAATTCAAACTACTTGTAATTCAACTTTTACAGTTAAAAAAGTATATTTTTAGCTTGATAATAGCAAAGTATTAGTATATCTACAATCTGGTTCAGACTTCTTGCATAGTGTAACAGATGCCAATTTTTCAGTATGAACTATATTCTTAGCGTTTGTTTTCCAAGCTACATACCAACATGCTCTGCAATGGACTCCAAGGATCCTCTAGAACGTTCAGAATCAGTTATTGATTTCCAACTTTTTGATGTCTCAGATCTACAGTGCAATGCAATATAGATAAGAATATATAAATTAGTAAGTTACAAAATTCTCCAAAGAAGGACATTCTACAGATAAGGCACTGAATTAAAAATAATCTATCACAGAACTAGAGGCTTTTTGAGAGATAAGATTCTCTGTATCACTTTACATTCCGCATTGTATACTTGCATACATATAAAGTGCCTGAGGGTTAATTTTTGTCCCAGATTGTTTCCTCTCTGTTATTTTGCTGTTGTAATTTTAGAGTTTTTTAATACTGGTAGCCAGATTTTGTTCATTTTCATGGTTTCCTCCTTTCTGTTGAAATTGTCCACATGCTTGTGGATTTCAATGGCTTCTCTGTGTAGGCTGACATGGTGGTTGTGAGAGTGGTCCAGCATTTCTGTGTTCTCAAATACTATGCTGTGTCCAGGTTGGTTCATCAGGTGCTCTGCTATGGCTGACTTCTCTGGTTGAAGTACCAGTAATGGCTACCAGTATTAAAAAAAAACTCTAAAATTACAACAGCAAAACAACAGAGAGGAAACAATCAAGGACATCTAATCACCTCTCAACAAAAGATTGCCCCAGGCACTGCCAGGCCATCAAATGCTAATCAAGGTGGTCAGTTGAAACATTCACACCTAGCTCCAGCAGGCAAGAGTCCTTTGTCCCACCCTGGTCATTCCACAGATATATAAACCCTTTTTCCTAGTTCCAACAGACCTCACTACCTCTGAGGATGCTTGCCATAGATGCAGGCAAAACATCAGGAGAGAATGCCTCCAGAACATGGCCATATAGTCTGAAAAAACCTACAACAATCCGGGGATGTGAATTTATTTGAATAATGCCCACCAGGTTTCCAGATGCACATAAGTGATGGACAAGGAAGAAATATCACCAGTCTGCTATGATCCATAAGCAATTTTACAGCACCCTACCCAATTTCTAGCTTACCCCATACTTATGCTGAAAGAAGGGCAAGGCAGGCAGCGGCTGAGAAGACTTCGGAGTACTCTCAGTCACCACCTACTTTCCTGGGGCTGTCCTCCTAGCGTAAGGACAAGGGCGCTTGCCCGGTACTTATGCCGAGAGGAGAGCTTGTGGCGCAGCTGGCTGTCAGCTGCATTAAGATCACTCTGACCAAAAAGTCATGAGTTCAAAGCCAGCCCGGGTTGGAGTGGGTTTCCAACCAATTGTGTAGCCTGTTGTCGATCTTTGTAATCCGAAAGACAGTTGCATCTGTCAAGTAGGAAAACTAGGTACCACCTTAAAAGTGTGGGGAGGCTAAATTAACTAATTTATGAGGCCATAAAAAAGACTCCAGCAAGCACTCCAGCAAAAAGCATGCGGGGAATGCAGAAGTACTTCATCAGTGTTGCAGATGGACGATGAAAGAGACAGCTCCCCTGGCGGCCAGAAAAAGTTAAATAGCCTCTGTGTATGTCTGTATATGTTGTATGTCAAAATTGGCATTGAATGTTTGCCATATATGTGTACACTGTAATCCGCCCTGAGTCCCCTGCGGGGTGAGAAGGGCAGAATATAAAAGCTGTAAATAAATAATAAATAATAATAATAAATAAGGCATGTGGCAGCTGAGAGCGATCCAGAGGACTCCCAGCCACTATGTGTCTTCCTCCCCCCTCCTTTCAGCATGACACAGTGAGGGCAGGGATAATGAAGCGGGCCAGGCATAAGTACTCAGAGAAGGCACCTACGCCCCACAGGCCTTAGTTTGCTCATACCTGGACTAGAACCAAAGCCATTGATGTCATGGTCACGCTAACTCTACATTAATTGTATTGCTTAAATTGAAAAAAATGGCAAAGAGCTTAGTTTCCTCTTTAAAAATCTGAAATGGCTTAGGTCAAATGTATCTGAAGAACACCATCACACAAATCTGCTCCTTGTTATCCCTTTTCATTCTGATCTGAAGTACGTAAAGTAAATATGGAGTCCAGAGCCTTTTCCAGAAGGCCGTACTTTTGAATACCCTACAAAAGTTTAGCTTGTTTTTCAGCAGGCTTCTAAAGATTGTCTTTCAGAAGTTGATTTCTGCACTTATTTTGTCTGCTATGTATGGATTGTTTTAATTATTCTTACATACTTTGTCACTAACTTGGTTTAAAAAATATATGATAAAAATTATGTAAGTACTCTATATGCAATACTTGAGACACTAGAAAAAATATTGGTACATATATGGGTGTTTTTCAAGAATTTTCCAATATATTTTGATCTCTCCCTCAGTATATGCTGAATTTACATATGTGAAAGAAGCAGAACATTTTTCTAAATATATAATGGTAAATGTTTAGAAAGCGCCCAGTACAATGTTTACCCAAAAGCACTATATTACCTATGGAGTGGAGGCGGTTTGATCTTTGGCTTCTCACTAGTTGAAGACAGTGTCTTGATTTGAGGTTTAGCTGTCGGTGTTGCTTCCAGATCCCCATTCAGTTCTGCTTCAGTCTTTTTGATGAATTCATCATAAGTCTGGCAATGAATGAAAGAGGTCGTAAGGAATCTGTGAGCCTAGTCTCTCATCTTGAATACACACACACACACACACGGTGGCTTTCCTGTAAACATTTCCTTTTGCTTGGTTTTCAATATTAAATTTATTTTGTCACATTCTAGCTTTACAGAATATATCTGAAAAAAAAGATTTCAAATGACAATGTATTAACTATCCTAAGTGCACTAAGAATAATTTTATTTCTAGTTTTTTAGTCAGCATCACTTTATTACAACCTAAGTTTTTGAAGTATGTCTACGAATTCACTGCAACATGGGTTTTAAAAGAAATATCAGAATATTCATTTGTAACACCGATGCTGTCAATATGAAAACAGGCAAAAATATTTTCACCTTGACACACAATTTTTATGGAAGTTTTTTTTTTCCAAGACAGTCTTACTTCTAATTGTTTGATCAAACTGGCCTCCTGGGCTTTCAGTCTCTCCTTATGCCTCTTCTTTTGTTCCTTCCTCAGTTGGTAAACAACAGACTTTCTCTTCCGTAGCTCATCCTTCAGGGCTCGGATTCGGCTTTCCACATCACTTTGATCAGATGTAGTTTCTAACAAGGTATATTTTAATACTTTAAGAGAAACTGTATACTGACTTTACAAAAATCAATCACCTACAATGTATTTGAGAACAGTCGCTTTTTAAAAAATCAGTAGTTGTTGCATAAATCCTTAATTATTACCAAAACTGTAACAAAGTTTAAGTGCATGCCTTTTTGTTTGCTCACGTTACACTCCATTCATATTTTATCCATTCCTCTCTGTTCCCTTTCTAACATTCTTTGGATATGGCCCTGTGATTTTTGCTCATGTTGTAATGTGTTGCCTAATTGGATGATAGCATGAATATATTAATAGTAAATGTTGGCTTCTTTATAAGCTTAGGGGCTGTCAATTCATCGGTTGGGAGTCCGTCCCCCCTCCAGCACCAACTGCTGCTCTGAGATCAGAGTGACGAGAGGGCCCATGAAGGCAGTTCCATCTTGTCTCCTGCACTGTGCTTATAATATAATATAATATAATATAATATAATATAATATAATATAATATAATATAATATAATATAATATAATATATAATGTATATACATATAATATTGATACTATAACGTAATACAATATACTACTACTAATAATAATAAAATAATATTATAATTATATATTTTATATTAAATGTAATATTACTAATAATATTACAGTATAATGTTATAGTACAATGTAATATATAATATTCATATTGTGCTATGATAATAATAATATATTGTATTTACTTTTTACTTGTAAGCCGCTCTAGATTTCCCTTCGGAGTGAGAAGGGCGGCATATAAATGTTGCAAATAAATAAATAAATATGTATTCTAGACACAGTAATGAACTTCAGTGAAATTAAACACTTATGCAACAATGATTTCAATGAAATTTTGAGAGTATCCTCAGATATAACAATCTTTACATATAAACGTTTTATAGGTATGTCTTTCAAACAGAACCAAAATGATTTAGATCAGTGGTTCTCAACAATCTTTAGTTCTCCAGGCATTTTGGTCTTCAACTCCCAGAAATCCCATTCGGCTTATCACCTGTTAAGAATTGTGGGAGTTGAAGTCCAAAACACCTAGAGAGCAGAGTTTGAGAACCTCTGGTAGAACCTCCCCCCACCCAATGATAGGCAAAACCGCCTCCAAAAAACAAAAACTACTGGCTCTTCTCTGCTGTGCAAACTCTGTAGACGGACTTCACAACTGTACATCATTTGAATTCAGTTGAATTTGACAGGTGGTTGCTTAAATATAGGACAGTAAACCTATGAGCTATCATGCTTACCTGACTGGGTCATGGACAAAGACTCATCAGACCAACTGTAGGAAACATCTTGAGATTTTGTAGATGAATGAGGTTGTCCACCTGTTTTGTGGCTTCCTTTGCTATGAATTTGCTTTGAGTGGGACACACTACTCTTGGAAGGAGACTAGGCAAAAGGGAAAAAAACAGTAATATGTTTATGAATCAAGTATTCTGAAAGGCATATAAGGATTCAATAAACTAATTCTTGACATGGAAAAGAGTATATCTATACCAAAGAAATGATTAAAATTTGTGAAAATTTACACTGGACACACAATTCACTTCAATGTCTAATTTGGTTAAGAAATCTATTTGATAAATTTTGAACTATACAAAAAATAGGTGGGGGTTAAAAGTCATAGGTATAATCGATAAGGGTGGAATGGAAAAGTGTCCAAAGGTAAATAACAAAAAAGTGTTATCTGTTCACAAATCACAGCTATATTTTCAGCCAACTAAGTGAACTTTTTATAGTGCATACAATGGATGGCTAAGAAGTAAAACATATCTTTTATATTCTACCCAAAGAAAAACAGCATGCAAGTATTTTAAAAGGCAAGCCTACTTATTGCAAACATCACATTTCAGTTTCAGAGAATTTTCAGGCAATCCCCTGGTAATTTTCAATAGAAAACATTGTTTCTTAAACCCAAATTGTTTCAAATCATACTCTGTATCTATTAACAGAATTTTATCTGTATGTATGCTATACCTACTAAACCTCCCTATTAGCATAAACCATGTTATTTACACTTCAATAAAACAAAAGGAGTATCAACACATTCCCAAGAGTGAATTGTAACCACTTATCTTCACAGATAACCAGCTAACAGTTCTCATTTCTAATCACAAAAATCAGAAATGGGTAAAAAATAGATCCAGATCCACTTTTACATCTCTTCATGATGTTCAGTTGATTGCTAAGTGTTTCTATCTTCTATTTTTTTGTTAAAGGGTAGGGTGCCTTTTTTCTCTAAGCTGAAATGACATACTATCAGCCCCAACACATTTGTGGGTTTAATTTCTGCAGATGTGACTATAAATTAATTTGATTGATCTCTCGGAATCTTCCAAGGCGACTCTATGGTCAATTTCCACCAGAGGCTGACCACAGGAAGACTTAGAGATTCCTAGAGAAATGTTATCTCAGATTTTTAAAAAGTGATTTCTTTTCATCCATAGTTTTTCCACTTTTCTGAAGTTTTGTATCCTTAACTCTCACAAAAGTAGAAGCCTTAGTATAGCATATCAGGGTAAACAAGAGTGTGTATCTGGAAAACATGTGAGACCTATCAAGTTTTGGTACTGAAAAAAGACAATTCCAAATTTGAGAACATTTTAACCCCAGATGCATGGCTTTTGCACCAACTATATGTAGAATAAAAAACCAAGTATGTCCTGCAAGGCTGAGATCTGCCAATTCTGTACTTTGGGACTGCAATTGTCAAAGCACATCAGCGCACTCATTAAGCTCATAGTCAGAAACAGTCCAGGATCATACACAGCAGGTAGTCCAAAACAGAAAGTCAAGCAGGAGAATAGTCAAGAGTGCATTTCAAAGGGTCAATCACAGAGAAGCTCACTAATCTATATAAATAAAAATGTAATGTTAGTCTGTGGGATTAATCTAACGCAAAAACCACTGGACTAATTGACACCAAATTTGAACACAATACACATATCAGGCCAACGAGTGACCATCACTCATAAAACACTGAAAAACACAGCAGAAGAGACGTAAAAAAGCAAAAAAGAAAATTCAGTACAACACATGCGCAAAAACACACACATTTGGGGGCTGAAAACAACTTGGCGCCTGCAGAAGTTAATGAGTAAATAGATAGACGGCAGAAGATTAGTCAAAGCAGACAAGCTGAACAATGGCTGTGGCGATCTGCCAGGCTCCAACAGAAAAGGATAAGGGAATCTCAATTAAAGTGAAACCAATTTCTGAGTGCTTGGGATAGCTTAACGAGGGGATAAAAGTCCCAAGTACAGGAAATGTAGCCAGATGAAACAACGTTTGGAATCAAGTTAAGTTCTTGTCCTTGTTTCATGGAACCCTAGCTTGGAAGATTCATGCTTAAGTATTTCTTGTTTCATGGTTTTGATCCTTGGATTTTATGACTACATACCCCTGCCTTGGATTACTGTTTCCTGGTTTTCTGGATTATATTAGAGAAGTGTGGACTTTGTTTTCATGGACTTTGCTGAGCTTTACCCTGGACTATTTTGTTCCTGATTATCTTTTTTACATAATTGATTTACCTATTTCTTTAAAGTACTTTTTACTTTGCTGCTTTTTAATTATCTCAATTAAAAGGATTGTTTTCCTATTCAACATGTGGCGTTTAAAGTCAGAGGGCTTTTCCTGTCCTGGAGTGCAACAATTATATTTGAAGAACAATATGGTAAGTGTTTTTTTTTTTTTGTTTAAATTAAAAAGTGTAGACATTAAGAATGAACTTAATGTAATCCATGAAATGAATAATTAAATAATAAAATTAAATGCTGTTTTCATTATTAAGGTGAAGTAGCTCCATTTGTTTGTATGTAGAAGCAGAGGTGGTAAGTGTGAGTACAGGTGTTAAGGTGGTTTTTAGTGGTACTTTCTGTAATTGGGTAGGAGTTAGGTTTGTGTTAGCAATCTTTCTTTCTGTTTTCTGTAGTGGTAGGCATTTTTCTATATTATCAGTTATGTATGTGTTTATGTAGTTAATATATTTAAGAAAATATTTTTTAAATAATTAGTGCAGTTTAAATATAAAACAGATTAGTATGCATTGCTCTTAATTTTACACAAGCACTGTAACATCGCATATAGTAAAAGTTACAGAAATCATAGATCTTGTCTAATTTAGTTCATAGCTCAGCTGAAAATATCTACTTCTTATGACAAAAGGTATATGGTTTATATGATGCACATAGATTTCCAATTTAAAAATTCTCTCACATGTTTTCCAGGAGAAGCAGAGGATGCTAATTCTTGTGTGTAAGCCATTTCCTCAGTAAGTGTATGATCGAGGCTTCCAAATTGCTCTTGATCCTCATGGACTGTTGTTGGCCTAGATTCAGCAGGTAGGCTGCCCAATTCTTCTGGCACAGAACTTTCACTATTCAGGCGAGAACAAGGTGGGACTGAAGAATCTTCTTCACTGGCTGTTTCTGAGAGAAGATCATAGAAGGGTCAGTCAAGAAGGAAAACCTGAAATTTTCATTCACTTATCTACACTTGTACATTCATAACTGTTCTATACGGCAGAACCAAAAAGGTCTCTATATCCCGCAGGTACAAATTAAGTCCTAGATATATAGTGAGTGGAAAAATGAGATGTATTTGATAAAGTTTCCAGTTATGACATTTTCTGGCATGTGAGATACCTAATACATTGAGTGTTTTTTATTTTAATTTTTATTATAATAACAATAACAATAATATTAACTTTATTTATACCCCACCCTCCCAGGGTGGTAGGAGAGAATCAGGATTCTTTAACATCTTTTCCAAGCCTGGTGACCTCCAAATGTTTTTAAATTCAAACCAATACCCAGCCAGTATAACACTGGCCAACACACATTTTGGTGCCTCAAATGTTAGACCTGTTTCTGGGTATATTTGACTTGTGGATTCCAAAAACTATCAGCTCTAGTTTTTGAGATACAGACATATGCCATTTACTTGTCTGTCCTCGGACAGAGAAAACCGTAATAACCATATCTAAAACTAACTGAGACATCTGCTCTTTGTTCCCCCCTCCCCCCACCCATAAATAAAATCTTGTAACCATGTATTACTGCCCGTTGAACCCATTTGTTGTAGCTGTTGTCCACAACATACGACAGTTTAGAAAGTCCCATCCACCACCGGAACCTCCTTTGCTTCAATACTGTTGCATACATAACTTGCTCCTATTTTTATCTCATTAGAGTTTTAGAAATGAGAGGTTGCTTACCTGTAACCATAGTTTCCCTAGTGGTGTGCTGTGAATTCGCACTAATGGTACTAGAGTTTTAGAACTGTTTTTATCCTGTACATGTGGCCTGCCCATTGTTATTGTGATTGTGCTTATTAGAATGTTATTTTATGACTGTGTTTATAATTTTTTGATGTAATTTGATGATGTTTATTGTTTATGCTCTGTTTTTATTTTGTTGTAATATGTTGTCCGGGCTTGGCCCCATGTAAGCTGCTCTGAGTCCCCATTGGGGAGATGGTGTCAGGGTATAAATAAAGATTATTATTATTATTATTACTCCCTATGAAGTGCCCAGCCCCTCTCCTTGTTTGTTGTTAATTATCAATTTGTTCCACCAAGGTCTCTTAGTCTTCTTAGTACCCAATGGAATTTCTAATTCTAAATCTATAAGTCTTTGATCATGTCTGATAACACAGTTTCAGTGCTGGTTTCTGCAAGAAAAAGACTTTTATTCTTTTTCTTGCATTTGAAGATCTTCATGCTCTGCCTCTAAATTCTGTTTCACTCACATTTCAAACTAGTTCCCTCTGAGACTTCAGAAACCTTGTGCTGTCCTGCAACTGCAATGGGATCCCAATCTGCTCAAGTATTCATCTGTTACTATTTTGATCTGAAAGGGACACTGGGTTGTTGTGAGTTTTTCAGGTTGTGTGGCCATGTTCCAGAAGCTTTTCTGTTTGGATTCTGTTTTTATCAGGATATCATCACATGGATGGAAGCAACTGTATGGGTCCTTTCCACACAATCAACACTCTGTTGGAAGGAAACATGCAAAATTGGGACCCTCCTTTCAAAGGTATCCTTCATATTTGTACCTTTCTGATCAGATTTCTGGTCTCCAGCACCCTTTTTGTTTGCTTTGGCTTTGAGCAGGTCTTTGTCCCAGGCAGCCAATGCCTGCTTCTCTATTTGACGTATCTCTGCTTCTTCTTTATCTAAACGACGCTTCCATTGCAGCAGTTCTTCAGCGTACTGTCGACGGTGCATTAGTTTTTGTTCTCTCTTCGTTAAGAACCTAGCAAAAAAAAAAGAGAGAGAGAGAGAAATTGTTCACCGGCACCCTGAAGTGTCAATTATAACGTGGTAATAAGTATTATGACATAAAATATTGTGAATGATTGCCATGATTGCCTGAATACTAAATTAATAATTGAAGCACTGGTTATATTAATCCAGTTAATATTTTCCAATGCTCATATTTTTGAACATTTTATTTCTGTGACAAAACAGTCCAAAATTGTGTGTGTAAATTAATGTTTATAATGAAAAGAAATTCTGTAGGAGCTAATGGAATTCCAAAACATAAATACACACACATCAAAAAATCCTTTTTTTATCCAGCTTGATCTTTATCCATGTCTAAAGCCAGGTATCAAAATACTTAAAACAGAACTAAAACCAGCAAAATACTGAGTTCATATCTAAAACTATTAACAGGTACAGATTTATAACTACACTGCTAGGAAGTAAGACTGATCACAATACAGTTTTTTCACATAATTAAAAAATTAAGTTGATCTCTCTCACAACGACGACAATCTAGAACTGCACACCAAGCCTTCTTTTTGGCCATCCTCTACTGCAGGAGTCCTCAAACTAAGGCCTGGGGGCCAAGGTCATTTACCCGGCCCTCACTCAGGCTCAATCTAAGTCTGAAATGACTTGTAAGCACACAACAACAACAACAACAGCAACAACAATCCTATCTCATCAACCGAAAGCAGGTCCACACTTCCCATTGAAACACTAATAAGTTTATATTTATTGAAATTGTTCTTCATTTTAATTATTCCTACAACATAAAATCATCCCAAAAGAAAAATACAACTGCCAGAGATCGAAGTCCGATTAACTTGCATTATTATTCTGGGCTATAAGCAGGGCTTATTTACATGGAGTGCCTTATATTCTCTAGTAATTTGGAAAGGTTAACCAGAAGCAACTGAATAAAATTTTACTTTTATAGATTTAAAAAAATCTGTCATGTCAATGTAAAATGCGAAAAAACACGTTAAATCCCAGAGCCTATTCCAAATAGCAGTTGACACATTACGTAACTTTATAGGCATGAGGCTGCTGCAGGAGTATCGCCTTAAATGTTTACACAGGAGATGATTGGGGGGGGGGGGGGACTCTTTATAAAGAGTTTCCTAGTCATGTCAAACTGAACAGAGCATGCTCGATCAAAGAGTCTACCACTGAAAAAGGTAGAAAGTTACCTGACCAATTGGTTGTAGATATACAGCTGGAATTTGGGATGGAGGTTGGGAAAACAGACACTGAGAGAAGCCCAGTGGTGAGACGTAAAGACAGAGAAGAAGTAGTGAACAGGAGAGCAGTGTCTACAAAATAAGGAGGAAGAGTTTTAAGCCAAGATAGCAAGAAACAGACAGAAAGCGAGAGTAGGAGAGCATCTAGCATAGAGTCTTGAATTCATGTCAAACAATCATCATTCCACATGCGGAAGACTCCAAGGACAACAAAACAAAAACGTATTTTCACTGCAATCTTCCATTTTTTCTATGAAGAGCTTACTACAGTGGCAAATTTGCTACTTTTTGGAGCTTTGTTTCTGATACTTAAAGAAAGTGATCACATCTATTGGCTTCCAAACTGAATTTTAAAAGGTCTAGTATGTTGATCACTTGAACTCTTGTCTAGTCCTACTCATACTAATGAAGACTTGGTTCAGTCAACTAAATTAATTCAGTCTTCAAAAGAAAGAAAAAAAGGAGAGATGGCCTCCATCACCTATCTCGAAACTTAAACAATAACAAAAAAGTGTGCAAACTCAATGAGTTCATAAAGTGCCATCTTGCACAAGCATATAGTTTTAATCTTTAGACTACACGTACTCATACTTTCATTTTCAAACGCTGATCTGTATCAGAGCAGCATTTTAATTGTAAATATTGTCATGACAAAAATGTAAAGCTAGACAAAACTACCTCGCAGAGAAAGCAGTTAGAAAATAAAAGCCATGCTACTAATAGATACTAAGAGTTATAAAGCACAATAAGGACTAGCTAAGACAAATGAGGACAAAGAATAATTACTATTTAAATGGTTCCATGTTAGGAGCTGGTATTACAGGGGGTTAATTCTTTGATAGAGCATGCTCCTGTTCACATGCATACAATACGACAGTTTTCCCTATTTCGTCTTTAGCCAATACTAACATTTTCTTTAAAAACTACTAGATTCATCTGAGTATTTCTGGAAAGAACAAGAGGCAGCACAGTTCTTCAATCTGTTTTTTATCTTTTCAGCACTTCATACAATAATACGGTTTTCCTTTACTGGAATTTCTGCCAGGTGCAAACATAACAACTGATCTTTAAGAAAATGTAACAAATGTTAATATTATTTATTTATTTACTACATTTGTATACCGCTCTTCTCAGCCCTAGGGTGACTCAGAGCGGTTAACAATATCAAAATTCAATGCTCAAAACATCATAAAACAGTTAAAAACAATTTAAACAGTAAATCAATAAAGCATATTATTTAGCTGTCATTGATATCACTAAATGACTTAGGGGATTTGTACTTTCTAAGTTAGTGGTTCTTAACCTGGGGTCCCGAGATGTTTTTGGCCTTCAACTCCCAGAAATCCTAACAGCTGGTAAACTGGCTGGGATTTCTGGGAATTGTAGGCCAAAAACATCTGGGGACCCCAGGCTGAGAACCACTGTTCTAAGTAGATGTTTTAAAAAGTACTACTCTGAATTGTAACAATGAAACAGGATTTGTATTTTAAACCAGAAAAGAGGAACTAATGCTCGTCAATAAATGTTTTCAAATAACTATTTTCCATAGCTAGCAAACTATACTATAAGGTGGGATCCCCCCAAATCATCTGCATGCCTAGGGATTTTTTCCTTATGGTCTTCCAAATTTCTCCTATGCAAGAAATGTCTCTTAGAGCAATTTTTAGAAAAGCTAGAATGGAGAAGAAAAATGTAACACATTTACTGAAATCCTAAAACAAACACACACTGGAACCCTATATATTGATTTTATTCACTAACAATATCAGGAAGGACGCAGGATGACATATTCTAGAGTTGAAATATTCATGACTTACATTCAGAATTTTTTAAAACAGTTATTTGACAAAACGGTCAGCTTTTCTTTCTCTATCATGGGTATATTAGAGCTGCAAGGTCTCACAATTGAGAGATACATGTCACAGCTGATATACAAAACATTTCTCAATTGAAAGAGATACCGTATTTCATTGCAGAATAATCATATTTTTATTCATGTAAGAAACACAAAAATACCAATTTTGTCACCCCAAATTGGATGTCTGTTATTATGCAGTGGAGATTATTATACAGGATGTGGCAGCATAAATGAGAGGTTGCTTACCTGTAACCGTAGTTTCCCTAGTGGTATGCTGTGAATCCGCACTATTGGTATCTCTCTGCGCATGCGCAGCATAGCCCGGAATTCTTCAGTTAAAGATTTAAAAGGATGGCGGTTGGCCCCGCGCACACTCCCCAAGGCACTATAAATAGCCCGCGGAAGGCTAACCGCCTCAGTTCTCTTCGGCCGCAAAACCAGCTCAAAGAGGAGGCATGACAACTGCGGGGAGGATGGGCGGGGCCGTGCGGATTCACAGCATACCACTAGGGAAACTACGGTTACAGGTAAGCAACCTCTCATTTTCCCTGCGTGGCTATGCTGTGAATGCGCACTATTGGTAGCAGACTAGCAAGCTACTCACTGTGGCTGGTGGGCGTCATGCCACCGCAGAAAAAAGCACTGCTCGACCAAAGGAAGCATCCTTCTTCGATGTCAGGTCAAGCTTGTAGTGTGTCACGAAGGTTATGGGTGTCGACCACGTTGCTGCACGGCAGATTACATCTAACGGCACACCCTTCAGGAAAGCCGAAGACGCAGACTGTGCCCTAGTCGAATGTCCTTTTACTCCACGCGGGACCTCCCGTCCCGACCTCTGATACGCCAACCTGATAACAGAAACAATCCAAGCAGACAGGCGTTGTGGTGACACAGGAAGCCCCACAGAGTCTTGGCGGTACTTTATGAATAGTCTTGGTGTTTTTCTTATGTCCTTTGTCCGATCAAGGTAAAAAGCAATAGCCCGGCGAACATCCAACCTATGGAGCCTCCGTTCCAGAGGGGAGGATGGCTCCTGGAAAAAGGCTGGCAACACAATTTCTTGGGACATGTGGAAGTTAGAAGTCACCTTGGGCAAGAAAGAAATGTCCGTTCGAAGCACAACTTTGTCCTTATGAATGCGGAGGTAAGGTGGGTCCGCTCTGAGCGCACACAACTCGCTCACCCGTCTGGCCGATGTGATGGCAACTAGGAACGAAACCTTCCAAGTTAAGTGAGAGATGTTGCATGTAGCCATCGGTTCATATGGAGGACCCTGAAGAGAATCTAGCACTAACTCCAGACTCCAAGAAGGGGCAACAGGGTTGACCGGCGGCCTCATGTTCCCCATCCCCTTCAGGAAAAGCTTGACATAGTAGTCCGTGAAGAGAGATGGGAYTCCATGCTTCCTCCTAAACCATGACACAGCAGCCAGGTAGCACTTCACRGATGACAAGGTGAATCCTGAGTCTGACAGAGAGCCAAGGAACTCCAACACCTCAGAAATCGGTGCTGTAACTGGGTCATTTCCCCTTGATGTCACGAACTCCCTGAAGCGCCTCACCTTGTACGTATAAGAGCGCTTGGTGGATGGCTTATGAGCCGCTTCCAGCACCTCCCTGACTTTCTCAGACACCTGGGCAACTAATCCATGGGTAGTACTCTCCACGCTGTCAACTTTAGTGTGTGGACATCGGGGTAGAGAACTTTGCCGTTCTGTGCTGTTAGGAGATCTGCTTTGCCCGGCAGACGCCTGAACACGCCCCGTGACATCTCTAGAAGTGCCGCAAACCATGGCTGCCGGGGCCACCATGGTGCGACCAGAATGCAGCGACTCTTGTCTCTTCGCAACTTTGTAATCACTTTGAGAAGTAGGGGAAAAGGGGGAAA